TTTCAAAAGGAAGCCTCAAAGGCCTAAAGCGTCACGAAACTCCAAGCAGCCCGGGCCTGGGAGCTCAGTCAGTGTTCAAGGTCCCAAATGGGAATGAGGGCCCCCCCCCCCCCCAAAAAAAAAAAAAAACTGTTTCGAAGGGTGGGGGGGGGGCCTGCTGCAGACTAATCAGACCCCGACATTACGCCCAGAGCAAGACGGGAGACCAACAAGCAAAAACGCCGAAAACCCACACGCTGCGGAGGATTTCTGGGAGGCTTTGAAGACCATGAGCACCATCAAGCCGCTGTCCTGCAGACTGCTTGTGTGCCTTTGGAGATTAAGGGTCTACCGATTTCAGCAGCCATGCTGATTTTTGCGGTTCTGCATGCGGTTCGTGGTTGAAGGGTGTAAGGACTTGGGCATGTGTGGGGGGGGGGGTTCAGCAGTCACCTTGGCGCTTCCCAGGCGAGTGGGAGCTATCATTGGTTTACTATTTTGGCTTGCCAGTTTGGCTTGTGCACACTTGAAACAACATGGAAAACCCATACACTTTCAGCTAGTTGTAAGCACCCTGAACCCGTAAGCCATCAACCGAACTCGTACGCGTAATCACTAATTCAAGCATAAGCCCGTGACCGAAAACCCGAAAGCTCATTGAGGGGCGTTGAACTGCCTTCAGGACTTAGCATCGATTCGTGTTTCCCAACCCAGGAGGGGAAGAAATCCAAATTACAGAGAGAGAGAGAGAGAGAGAGAGGCATGTATATACCTATGCATCACATATATATATATATAATATATATATATATATATATATACATATATATATATATATATATATGATGTTACACCATCTTGCATTATGTTATACTATGTGCCGAGGTTCTGCGGAGAAGATCCGGATGCGATCACATCTTGGAGCGTTTCTACGAGCGTAAACCATCTGAAGGCGGGAAAGCATTCCGGTGGTAGGGTTTGGGGTTTATATGAGTTACTATTTTATATGAGGTTTAGGGTTTAGTGGTGTTAGGGTTTTAGCGTTTAGGATTTGGGCGGCTCTTCGCTCACAGGGGCACAGTTGGTTGCTCTTCCTCCCATCTTGAGTTTCACAAGCGGGCCAGGAATGCTGCTCTTCAGACATGCTTGATGTCTTGAATGCCTGGGGAGAGTTAGTTCGCTAACATGTCCTTGGTTCTTTGTGCCCTGACAAGCCGCCCCATATGTGAATGCCCAACCTCACACGGACCTAAAGCCGATACCCTCGTGGAGGTCCACAAGGAGAAGTCCTCGAGCTCTGCCGAGCTTGGCCAGAAGGAGTCAGGCCGAGTTGGGCCGGAGGAGAGTCTTGGGGTCTTAAGGAGGACCTGCCATTGCAAGCATTCTTGTCGCCATCCGGCATACCTCGTCTCCGTCCTCAACATCATCATTCCATTCGCAGAAGGATATGATGGTTTTTGCGCGGTCGACATGGAATTGACCAATTGGTTTACATCATAGTAAGAAGAATGTACGCACCATGGGAACACTCATGATGACGATGAGGGATGAGGTTGCTGATGATGGGAACAAATGGAAAGGTCATGGCGGATGGATGGAGTAGTGTGTATGATGGTGATGGTGATGGTGATGATGAAGATGGTGTCGTCGACACCCAATCGGGATGACGCGGATGGAGGGAGTGCAGGGGTTGTGAAGGGGTGATGTGGCATGATCTTTAGAATTACCCGCGGATTGCCTGGATCACAACTATCACAGCTTGCAGCACCACCATCATTGCCATCCCCATCGCCATCACAGAGGCTTTACCACCCACATCATCAAAACCGTGTCAGCTGGACTTCAAACTAGTGGCAGGAGAGTCCAACTGCCTCTCTTCCGTAACTTTGCATCAGAAACCTGGGATTTCCGGACTATGGTGCTGTAGTTTGGGACTGGGGCGTCGCGAGAGTTGCTGAGGTTGCTCGAGGCGCACAAACGTCGTTGACCCCAGATTTCTGGAATTGAACTACGACATGATTCAGGTTCCGGATGAACCGCCCCCTCCGACTCTGAGTTCGAACTCGAGGATGTCAGAACCTGATAACTACAAAATGCAACAACAAACACACAGTCCATCGATGAGAGCAGCTGAAAGCCTTGCCAGGCACGGTCGTCCGCGGAGTGCAGCGTGGCAACTGGCTGGAGCTGGTGGACAACCAGGGCTTCATGCTGATCATTTCCGCCGCTTGGCGAGGATGTTGATGCAGCCTCAGGAGGCCGGATTGGCAGGTCCAGAAGGCACGTGTGCATGGACCAGTACACAGGTCGGCGATGTTTGAGAGCTGCGCTGTGCTAGCAGAGCTGCTTCGACATCTCTGCTGACCGAGGAGAAGACCGGCTTGCCCGTCATGCAGCAGGACTCCGGCAACACCGGCGAGAAGGGACTCTGGGAAACGCCCCGTGATCAAATTCAGGGTGTTCGAATCGCTTCAGCTGGCAAGCCAGAGTCACCAAGCTAAGAGTACTTTGTCTTGTTCATGGTCAAGATAATCGCTCCAAGATGTGTCAAGACCGTCTCTTCGTGAGTGGCTTTCAATTCCAAGCCGCACATTACCTCGCTTGCTCTGACGCCCCGAAATTGACAGAAGAGGGCTGGGTTGTTGTAGGGTCTGTTTTTGAAGGTTTTATGGCAAGTTGTCCCGTTGCCGCTGCCATTGTACCGTATTCCTGATGGTCTTCCAGTGTTTCAGGTCACGTCATGCTGGAAAATCGAACAACACGGGCTGAAATGAGCAACAGCGACCTCGAAGCCGCTCGGGCGCGGACAGACAAGCCTAATGCCGGGCCTAGCGATCCCGAACAGAACGCTCGTCGGAACGCAGATAGATGGACGGCAAATCGAAGATGCGGTTGACGCTCCAAGACCTTGGTGCGAATCACTAGGTGAGACATCGCGCTTCACCTATTTGTGTTTCAATTGCCAGGCCGCACAGCAGTAGCTGCGTCCTGTCGCTGTGCCAGGCCTTTTCTGCTTCCTGCCCATAACCTACATGGCACTGCTTCATAAAAGCTGACTAGCCGTCGATACGCCAACGACTTAGACTTATCAAGGTCCCGCGAACTGCTTCCGGGGCTCGGATCTATGGTAAGTAGGTAGTATTAAGCCCGGCAGTATCCCGAGAGTCTGAAACTCAATACGCTCCCTTTTCGCACCTCTGGATCCCGACTGTCACGCTTCACGGCTGAAAGAACAAGGTACCCGTTTATCGGCGAGTGGTGGAAGAAGTCGCTTGGATACTCTCCCATGGTCCACCCTTTGATGAAAGACACGTGACCAGAATCCGACAATCTCTGAGCCCCTTCGTCTGTTTACTCTAGGACTCTAGGCCCTAGTTAATGTTAGGAAGTCGGCTGCAGCCTACAAGCAGACATCTTGGAACGTGAATGAGAGCAAAGGTGTGCAAGTGTACATGTTGAGTGACCATATATCTCGATCTGTCTATGTCTATATTTTTATTCACACGCACGTAAGCATGTGTGTGCGCATTATTGGATACGTGTATGTAGGTAAATCCGTCAGGCATCCATGCATGCATGTATGTCACAAACGTGCAAAGTGCATGTACGCCTGTACGGGCGTGTGTGTGTGTATATATATATATACATACACACACACCCACACACGCACACACATGCATATACTTTCAGCCCATATGCTTGGCGCTACACGCCGTACGAGTTATGGGCAATCGATCCCTGGCTTCGGGTTGCATTGTCTCCTCCATCTCTCAAGCATTCAATGCCGAGGCTCCTAGCCCAAGGCGTGAAGCAGAAGGGCAT